GATTCAGTGTCAATGTCTGGTGTGGTGTTCTGTATGCTCAGCTAATCAGGCCATTCATTTTATTGCATTTGGGGCTGGATGAAGGACATGGTGTACCAGGTAAAGGTACAAACACGTGAAGTGTTGTTTGAATGTATTCTGGACGCGGCAATGACAATAAAGAACACACTTGTGGAACTGCAAAATGCTACGAGCGCGGTACAACGCGTGCGACAGGTTGTACTAACGTGCAGGCAGAAATTTCTGAAAATCTTATGTAAATCCAGTCGTCTTCTAAAGCACTACAGTTTAAAGGAAACAGATTGATAGAGGGTGTGACATGCAACCATTGGTATGTTTACGGAATGGGATGCTGAAAGTAATGTAATTTGTAACATAAAATCGTTGAAAAATGTTGCAAAATGCAAAATTAATAAATTAAAAAAAAAATGGTTTTAGAATTCTTGTTTCCTAAAACATTAATGATTTAAAAAGCGTTTGTATTGTATTTCTGATTTGTTTTTAATGAAATTCGAAGAAAAAAAAGATTTTTCGCCAGTTTTCAAATTACTGTATCTCTTTAATTATGAGTTGGATACCATTAGTACATTAATATTTTTTGTTCCAAATTACCTCAGGAATGCCCTCCCTAAGTGGGGGTAAAACTTCGTGAAACAAACTGTATAAGAAGAGCACCCAGACTTACTAACAATCGGAGACACATTTGGGTTGCTTCAGCAGGGTGGGGTCAACAACAAATTCCAGTTCCAGACAATCAATCTGGAAGTTCTAATGCCAAATACTAACCAACTTAACACGGCTACACCTTTCCAGAGAAGCTACTAGTTGCTCAGCTACTCAATGAATTACCAACATGTTATGAAATGTAAGGGTTTATTACCATTCACAGCCAGACACTGCCCCTATCCTGAGCCAGGTGATTTCACTGCACATTCCCTTCTTTAAGCATATAGAATACACAGCATCAGCCTACCTTCACACTTTTATGAGGACAACTGCAACTTGCAAATCCACTTGTGCACTCNAATGCAAGGGTTCATTAACATTCACGGCCAGACACTGGCCCCTATCCTGAGCCAGATGATTTCACTGCATATTCTCTTCTTTAAGCACATAGAATACACAGCATCAGCCTACCTTCACACTTTTCTGAGGACATCTGCAACTTGCAAATCCATTCATGCACTGCCTACTACTTTATATGGTGAAGACACACAAAATGGAATACATATTCCAGGACCATGGAGCAGGATCAGTTCTGGTGATGCAGTGACAAGCCAACTTGTGATGACACACGAGAAAGTTATGTTGATGCAGTTTTTGAGGGATGAATGCATGGTACATCTTATGATAAATGAAGCAAGTGTTCCTTGGCAAAAAAAAGTGTCAGTAATCTGAGATCACTTGCTCAGAGTGACAAAGAATTGGCTTCAGTTATGAT